TTGAGATCTTTGATCGCTAAAAAAACCTCATATAAATATACATTTTTTTTTATTGTCGGAATAAATTATTACTATAAAAAGAATTCATCTGACATTATCTCTCAATAAATTAATGAGTAATGACCACGATTCTTGGTTATACCTTCGGTTGGTTAACCTTTGTAGCACATAAAAGAAACTTTTGCGTTTCAAAAGTATATATAATGTTCCCGTACACTATATATCTATACACGAAATGTGTAAAACTTGCTGATTTCAATTCCGGAGAAACAAAAATCCCAGTGGACTAGTGAATATTACGTTTTCGGTGCAGTGACTGTAACGAGTTTTTTCTTCCTAGTAATTTCTTTGCTTTGCTAAAATATGCTTTTACTTCTTAAGCTCTAAGTAACTTATACAGAAGTAACTTACTTTTCTCAACGAAACCACTTATAAACCAATATTACTTGATTTTTGGGAAATGGATATTTTGTAATTGTAAATTCAAATGCTAATCACAAATGACTTGATTTTATGTTTTCATTTCTAACGTTATTATATATTTCACGTTGTATTTGGTTGAATATTATAAGCTTATAAGCTGCTTTGCCTCTTGAATATTTTATATGAAAAGTAGGAGAAAGTAAAAAAAAATTTTTTTTTTAAGGCACTGAAGAAATGAATTGTTATATTTTAAATAATGATAATGACCTCAAATTACTGAGTAAACATGGTACGCGTGCAAGTTTTGCTGTAAATTTGAGTTTACTAGACTTCAGAAATCGAGCACAACAATTCCAGACGTTTATATTGGTTGACCATTTCCATTTTTGAATATATTAACGTCAAAAAACCTTTACGCTGCAATGGTATATGCATATAGATAATATATTCTTTTCTCGTTCTGCTTTTCATTCTTATCCTATTCTCTATGTATGCTCCGGTCTTCTACCCTGAACTTGGTTACCAGCAGCCGAAGCAAGATCTCCATTATTTATTTGTTCTCTGACAGGATTTCGATTCTTTTAAGACGTTTTCCGATAAATTTTATTGTAAAATTTTAAACTACTAACCATCGGATTATGAAAAAACAGAATTTTTCTAAGATAATTTGCAAATTTCCGAGTATTATTTCCAGCATACAGAATGATCCACTAAATATGTCTAACGCGATATTTTCAATAGCCTAATTTTTTTTTTTTTTCAAAATTTATTAATATCCACACTAAAATTAAAACATAAAATATGTTCAATCCTCTTTTCTTTCTTCTTAAACTCATATAAATATTAGTTTTTTTTTTAAGGAAGCGTGCGTGTTTATTTGATTCAAAAATACTTTGAGACATTATTTTAAAAATATATTAGTGTTTTTACGACGTAGCAGGAGAAAGTTTAAAGTAAAATTACAAGGGTAAAAAATTGGTGACAAAATTGTATTTTTTTCGTTTTAATTTAAATGCAAGCATTACTAATAATTCCTGAAATTATTGGGCGAAACATAGTTAGTAGATCACCCTGTTTTATGCATTTCATAATAACTGTTTTCAATCTCAAACTTGTCAATTCAGCCTAACGAAAAAGTACTGTAGTCATGAGAATAATATTACAATTTATAAAAAATAACTTAACTTATTACTTCAAACTTATTATTCTAACGTTGATGGTTTTACTAACTTTTATGAGTAATAAAACCTAAAACATAAATATAGAAAAATATTAAAGTGCATCATCTAGTATGATTTTACTAAATATTTTCCTTTTTCTTTTTTTTTTGACAATAGAACGTTTAAATTGAATATTTAACGAATTAAACATTTTATTTTGCTCTTTTCCGTTACAAATTATGACATTTGTGTAAGTTTTCAAATAAAAAAAACTTGCGAATAAATCATTATGTAGTATATTTATATTTCTCATAACTGTGCAAAAGAAAGTCTTAATTTGAATTTCGTAAAAAAGCCCGATAAAAAACGAAGGTTTTCATTCCTTTTACCAACAATTTGGCGGAAAGAACCGATAAGAAATCTAATTTATTATATTTTTCTTTTCATTTTTGCCTCTCCATCACTTTGACACGCAGATTTTAGGGAGAGAAAAAAGATTCAAAACCTTTTATCAAATACCGTTATATTCAGATTGGTCTTTGGTACGTTTAATATATCACCGTGTTCACAACTGCCACTATAATACGCGTGGGTATGTCTTTTACTGTTAATTTTTTATTTGTTTGCCGGTTTCAGCCACACACAAGGTTAAATCACCTGCCAATAATATTAAATACTTTTTAATAGAAGCAATAACGCAAAGTCTCTTTAATAAAAAAAATTCGCTTCTTTGAATATTTTTCTTCCTGGAAACAAGAGTTTTATTATTAAAAAAAAAAAACTTATAACTAATTGTTATTGCGCAGTTGCTACTTCTCAACTTGGTTTATTTTTTATTATTGGAGTTTTCGTTTCGTTTGTGTGCCTAAGGCTAGTTCTTTTGGATAGTCGATTAATTATAATTTTTAAATTTAAATATAACGGTAATGATTATAGATTGTATGATCATCAATGCGACTAAAAATAAAATAAATTCTAATTTATAAAATTAAACATAACAACAACTATTATAACCATGTTACGTTACCAGTAACATCATACAAGCTCAGAATAAATAAATTAAACTTTTGATCTTGTATACAATTTGTGTATGACTCATGAATAATGGATAAAGGGGTGTCGGTGAATTTATTATAATTCGTCATAATACTATGCTAGTGCAATATGTTGTTTGGTTTCTTTGATAATAGCAGACCACCATCAGTATAAGTTATTGGATATTAAAACTTGGCCAAGCTGTTCGACACCAGACAAACTCGAACAAAACATAATAAATAACACCCCAATATCATACAAGTTTTCACTTCTAAAGTAGTCAAAAAAGAGAATCTATCAATGCACCAAATGTTGGAAAATATAAGGATCAAGACAGAATAATAATGATCAGTATTCAATTTCGATAAATCAATCTACGTCTCAGTTACCAACAAACTTATAAATTCTTTAAAACGTTTCCCGACTTCGATTATTGGCCGATGAAACTTTATCCGAACAAAACTTTTTCTTGTCGTCACCACTATTTCCACTGCTGTTAACTCTTTTCTTTTTTTTTGTTGTCTTTTCTTACTCCGGTAAACTTTATTCGGCAACAGACTATGTGTTTGGCAAACTAAAGACATGGATAATAGAGGATTTATCCCCGGGGATATAAATTTCTTTGCATGGACACTTGTAAAATCACCACAGAAGCAGTATCAATAGAAACTGATAACAAATAGAAAAAATTCAAATTGGAAAAATAATCTGGATAGAGTTGGATATTCTTATATTATAAAAACTTGAGGACAACTAAATAAAAGTTGGTTTTTTTTTTTTTAGCCGATTCAGTAAAGTAAAATGTCAAGAATTTCAACTTATTTAAATTATTTTTTTATTTTTATTTTTTTAATCAAATTTTAAATACTTTTTACAAATTGATTGAATTTATCATTGTAAATAATTTTGTACGTTCTGAGATGTAGAATTTCTCATATTGTATTTTTTCTAGACAATTTTTAAGAAAATACAAATGAAAAAATGACAATCCAGAACGCACTGAATATATATATATATATATATACTTTAAAAGAAATCGCATAACTGCTTGTACATTTCCCACGAGTTCAAACTTTACAACACAAAATGCCACAGTTCTTTGTACCCGAAAGGCACAGCCAAGCCTTTTGTAAACACTTGAGAAGCGACCGCCGCAATAAACATTTTAAGTATATTTTAAGTATGTGTCTACCGACATTCGATTTCCCAATGAATTTTGTCTGCCTTGTAAGAAGGCGATGTAAAAGCATGTACTTAAGGGTTCTACTATCATTGAAATTACATGCATAGGATTTTCTGTAAGAGAAATACTATGATATAAAATCCAATATACGATTACGTCCCTAAATACGTTTTTATATCAAATCAAATCGCAATTAGAACAACATTTTTGAAGGATTTATCTAATTTCTTCCTACCTAAAATTCTTTTTATTTAAAATAATATTCATAGATTTCCTTGAATTCAGGATAACCAAATTTTCTCCTCTCAATTTGCGCTTATGCACTAAATTAAACACCATAAGAAATATTTAAGTATAATTACAAGGACAATTCGTTTAAAACCATCAAAGTGTAATAAAAATTACTTTATTAAGGTGTACGCATCTTGAACCATACGGTTTCAACTCAATCATATCAGTTAAAGTTTAAACTGTTAATTCATAGTTGCGTTACGAGGTAATTAATTTTTAAGCGTTTACATAAATATTAATTTTAATAAAAAACATAATGGCTTTTTGAATTTGACCAGACATGAGTGGATACGATTTATTTTATATTACCGCCAACTATTTTTCAAACACTTCATTTATATAACAATTTTCTCTACTAGAGCCATAGTTTGGGATTTACTGCTAGATCACTTTTCATTAATATTTTCTTTAGACAGGTTAATTTCCTGTTACGCGTCAAAACTGACTCAAGAAACTAAATTCTAACTATGTTGATCCCATTCAAGTCAGTCAAACACCCTCTGCCGGCCTGTTTAATAAGTAATATAAGCCGGGCCCTTTACAATGCACTTGAAACACAATAATGACAATAATATAATAATAATAACTGTGTCCTGAGTGTTTATCCATGTGTGGGTGGTTGCTGCAAGGCACAGAAAATTATGAGGGTATAGGGCAATAAATATATGTCGAGAACAGATCTTCGCGGTGGCTATGAGCTTTGGAAGACTTACGGCGACGGGAGCGGTTTGGTTTTCCGGTTCGTTAAACGTTTGGTGCTTCCGTTATCGTTGTCGACGGCAAGAGGGTTAATAATCGAAACACACACACACACACACACACACACACACACACACACACACACACACAGACAGTTAGATATAACCGTAAAGCCTTCGATAGGCTTAAATTTAAAGGTAAATACTTACTCGAAAGAAAAAACAGCAATTTTTTTTAGTTATCTGCAACCCGAAATTCATTTTATTATGTCTGTGACTAAAAAACAAAAAAAAAAAAAGCTCTAGGTTTATTTCAGTAAAATAATCATTAAATTAGAAAAGATATGCCTTCACATTCAACCGCACGTCAGCGATAACTGAGATATACGTGACTTTGATAAAGGACAGTGTAATTAAGGACGACAAAAATAATACGTTTTGATAATTTTCAAATTTAATTAAAATACGTGTAAGATAATAAATAAACGAATTTAACTAAAGTTTTAATTTGAGTTAGGAAAATTATTTATCATTTAAAATTTCATTGAACTTCAACTGCAAACAACAAATCATTGAATATATCATTGATGACATATCAAAAAAAAAAAAAGTTTTGTGTATTATTAGCATTTATTAAAGTTCCCGTAGTGCATTATTAGGTGTCACGCTAACAAATAAATAAAATAGCTATTTTCATCAATCCAGTGATAATAAAATATGAAACTTAGCACATCATACTCACCTATTGATGTACACCGTCTTTTTTGGCAATTGCGGTTTTTTTATTTTCAGCTCACAATGCTAGCCGAAATCTGAAACAAATATGATAAAAGTTGAAAAATGGAACGTTAATAGCAACACTTTAACCGTAACAATAAGGAACCTATAAATGAATTGACTATTATTTTTAAAACCCAGTGTTGGTCGTTTCTGTAACTTCTCTATTGAGATATTTCATTGTTAAGTCAATAGTGTTGGAATGTACTGAACACTCCGACGGAAACCCATTTAATGTAATCCCGATAGGCATAAAGGTATTTTCATCGTGCAAACACTAGAGTCGACAAATTAAATGAAAGACGATTTTGATTTAATAATAGTCTCTGTAGTAAGATGTTTTGACAATAACGCCTGAACCGGCGACCATGTTTGGCACAATACATTTCCAGGGAGTTATATAAGAATGACAAACAATGCTACCCCAAAACAATACACATGCACATCACTTTCTATTAAAATACATTTTAAAAGCTTAGCAAAGTATTCCTTAAAACGTTCTATTCATTCGAGTAGTAACTTGTGCGCTGTTATTCGATTTGGACTACATATTTTTAAAACGACTGATTTTAAATAAATTGTATTATTGACTTTTTAATAAAAAAAATTTCGACTTGTACAAAATATGCTTACTTTTTATTTGCGTTGCGCGCCGATAAAAATGCATTGCAATTCAGTAAACGTTACGTGTTTACTGTATCTAAAATGAACATTTATTTCTGTTTAGTTAATTTTATTTACAGAGCTCGTTGTTTTAAGTCAATTAAATCTATCCGAAGCAAAATTTAATACAAGTCCATTTCACAATTCAAACGCGATAATATAAAAAAGTATTACAATCAGATATGTTTTTAATGAACTGATTAAATCTAGTAATATAAACGAATCTCTTTCATACACAATATTCAATGGATAACTTTTTACGCCGTAAAAATTCACCCACTGGAGTGCTGTACATTTACTATTCTTGATAAATCACAAGAATACTTTTTTGAAATTATTAAATATATTTTTTGCGAAAAAATAAATTTTTTTTTTCATTATTGATATTCCATAGAGGAACAATCGATTTAATTATGAACATTTCTAACGATTATTGCTATTAAAGGAAAAGGTTAAAGGGAAATTCGGATAGGTATGTTTCAATAGAGTATGTAGTAAGAGCGGGAGGGGCCCCACTAGAGAATGATGATTTACAAGTGTCGCTATTTCGATGATAAGGATGGAAAATATACAACGATGGTGGTGAAAAGGATCATCAATCAATCCAGCAGTCAGCCAAAGCCCATTAATCCTTTTTGATCGTAGCCGTGCGTGCAATTTAATTGTTCGAATAACAAATGACCCGTTTGTGTTTTGACGAACAAGTGGTGTACGTTTATGTGATTGTGAATGCTTCCAATGTTGTTTTACCAAAAAATTATTAATACTCTATACGTGTCATAAACTTCAAACTCGTCATTAATTTATATTTCGCAAATTAAATCAAAAACAACAATTTTCCGATGATTTTTGTCTAGTTGAAAATGCAATTAATGTTAACTGCGTACAAAACGTTTTTACATGAACGTGTTGTTTTACCCACCACTTGCAAATCCAGTTGATTTAATAGCGTTTTCTAAACTTGGTCGATTCAGATGCATTTTGACTTGCCACAAACTTCAGATAATACAATTATGACCAAAGTAAGACGACCTTCCGCACGTTGTAATTGACTCAGCTCGATCAGTGTCGCTTACTGTATTTAAAATAACTTAATTCTCAAGACTGACCGGTAGATATCAACAATATGAAAAATCATTGGGTTATTTTCATGATAGTATCGAAGATACGCAAAACAAATATCTATCTTCATACTAAATTATTTGAAATAATTAATTTTTACATGAAAAATATTTACAGCCGATAGACGTTTATTAGACGAGTTTCAACTAAATTTATTATTTTACATAATCAATAAATGTTGATAAGTAAAAGTAGTATTTTTATTAAATTTTTTTTCAACAGCGTGAGAGATATTAATTGTTTTATGATGACAATGAGATTTTCTTTCGTAAAACTAAAACCTTTAAAGGAACCGTATATGGTAACACAATAAAGTCGTTTTCTAAGTGAGTGACGTACAATCAATTTTACTTGGCCACTGTAAATTTAAGTAATACATCACTTAAATTCGCAACAAATGACACACATCGAAGATCAATTTTTCTAATAGATAAATAAATTATAAATGTATTATTTCCGAAATGTGATAATGAATCGTAATGAAATAGCGCGTTGAATAATTTTTACAAAATTACATCGAATTACTCAACGATAAAAATTGATTTCAAACTCATTATCACGTGATTGTTTTTTTGTATATTCGACTTTTATTTGGAAACTTGTATAAATTCTATTAACGAGAAATAATATAAAACTATAATAAAGCATTTATCTATTGGAAAAATGTACTTTTTTAATACATTAAAAGACGTTTTATTGCATTTCACGAAACGAGACCGAAGTTCTCACAAAACAACTTTCGCTCCATTTTATTGTAGAAAAGTCTTTTTTTTTTTGGTATGGTTAACAATGGTTATATAACTTGTGTAGTGAATAGACACAATAACGGGTCATTTTTATCTCTGCGATAACAATTTTACGGCGTTAAAATATGAATTCGGATTGTTGCACTCCAAAATCAATTACTTTGCTCATAGGCCCATCGCATTCATTGAATCCCATCCAATCATTTTTGCCCCGCGCGAGGTTATTGAGTTTTATTTGAATTTTCCGGTCTATGTTCGGGGATACTGTTGGTTAAAGAAAGCACGTAGACAAAGTCGAGTTATAAATAAAAGGCACGCTTGGAAAATCTCATTTTGTTTCCAATAAATTATAACCCCGGGGAAAATTTGCCCAGTCTGTTTATCGTATCCGGTCAGCGCGAGGTTAATTATCGTGGAAATCAATTGGCCTTTGTTGTGTATGCCCGTGGATATGGTCGTGGTCGGATGTCCTATTGGATCTACCAGACATGTGTGTGACACATACACGGGGCACACGTAGAGGAAACAGATTTTGATAAAGTACAATAGGCCGTCTCGGAGATGACGTGATTTCGAATGAAAAAACTCACACACGCCGAAACTTTTATTGTACGTATATATATTTATAACAACAAAAATGAAACCCTCGTCATAAATAAAGCGTCTTCCGACACGTACTTTTCAAGTACGACGCTATTGTTTAAATAAGCGCTTTCGAAGGGTTTGAGTCAATTATTATTACAAAGTGTTTCCAACAAAATTTGCATACATTTTATATTACAAAGCCGTTCTGCGTAGAGATAATTTAAAACGAGATGTTATTTATTGAGCATATTAACGTATGATATTAAAACCGAAACTCGCAAAGATTAAACATTTTATCGCTGTTGGACTTTTTTTGAATTCATATGACGGCCGCAAACATTTACTGACTTACCTCGAACGTTTCATATTTACGTTGATTTATTTAGCGAGGTTTTTAGCACAAGACTTAATCATCGTACGGACACAGCGCACCACCACTTCGTTTGAACCCCTACGACCACTGAGGTTAGCAAGATTAATAGGCCCGCATTGTTTGTAACGACCCACACTATAACTTTGAATATTATTCCCTGGCCATTCGTATTTCTACCGAATAGCGTTTTTTCCCAATGTCACGTTACATCTCTAATGTAGTTTATGTGTGCATCACTCTGTATGTACATATACAGGATGGTCCATTTATTATGACCCACTCGCTTACTCACGAAATGCAAAAATGATTTCGGAAATATTTTTTTGGCGTTTTTAATTACATGTACTTATCGATTGCTAAGTACTTTTTCGACGTATCCTCGTAATCATTTTACTATTTTTAAATGGCAATATACCTACATCAGGGACATGTCTACACGTGGGGGGTCAATTTATAAAATCAATAAAAGTGAGATATCTAAGGGTTATGGCAAGTTGAGTTTGGTTACCATACAACTTTTTTTTTTGTTCAGCAAAAATTTCAATGGGTATCGAATATTGACTGCCCCGAACAGCTGAAACGTCTAATGCACCACTGACCTACATTTTTAGCTAGCTTACATAATAGAAAAAGATTCAATTAAAAAAATGATGTGTCTAAATCAATTTTTGGATCGGTATTGCAAAAGATATACCGATTTTAAAATCTAGGCTAAGGAAGAGGCGTGAAACTAATTTTTTTTTTTATTAGACATTTTTCGGCCGAACTACTCCTCTTAAATTGGTATAAAAATCTCAATAACTTCAGAAATACTTGGAGTTCAGACGGCCAATAAAGGTAATCGATCAGCCAGTTTCTTAATTAGATCATTTTGTATTATATAGTTGTAATTCCGATTTTTTTTTTTATGAGTGATTAATAATAAACGAATCATTCATTTCGTACGTATAAAGTGGATCAGAATGATACGACAAACGAAATAACTTTTGATCTACTGCGATTTTTCATAAATAATTTTCCAGTTAATTTTTACATTTACGAGTTCAATAGTTTTATTTATTCGAATAGTAATCATAATTAAACATTATGTTGAATGAATTGTGTCCAATTTCGAGTTAAATATTTAACTTGTCTATATCAAATTATTTGATGGGTTGACGGCATGTTTTGAATAATTACGAGTATTTTATAAAATATAGAAAATTGAATATTTAAGACGAATAAATGGGTACTATTTTCATATTTATTGAGTACTTAAGCATGTAACCCGCCTGTTCTACTTAGCAACTCTGGACATTAAATGTCTGTAGCTTACAAAATATCAGCTGAAAAATGGTTATCATTTCTGATGATTGTAATTTTAAAAACACTTGAAATTAATACTTTAAATATAAAAATAAAATAAAACTGTACGGCTAATAGCCTAAGATTCCAAATACGTTAAATCTCAATTAAAAATAAAATATTACATGTATAATTTGATGGAAATTTTTGAAACAATAATTTGTAACTTCGAAAGTTGACGGGGAAAAAAAAATATAGAAAC